GACCCAGGCCCTGAGGGCGGAGGGGAGGGGGAGCGCGGCTCAGACCAGGGGGAGGGCAGGGGAGTGAGACGGGGCCGGTGGCGTCTGACCCGAGGGCAGGCCCCTGGTCTCATCAGGCACGCACCCTGGAAGGCTGAGCAGAAGGCGAATGCGCAGAGGGTGGGGGGCTGGGAAGGTCCCCTCAATACCCCGGCCCCGCCGCCTGGGCAGAGGGGCCATGGGACCCAGCTGCCCTGAGCCCACAGGCCCCGTGGGGCCCCCTGATGCCCTCGCTGTGGGCCAGCCTGTACAGGGTCCCTCGGGGGGCCCAGGGCTGGTTCCAGGCTGTCGGGTGTCCCTGCCTCTGAGCCCTGGCATAGCTGGTGGTGTCCCCAGACTGTCCACAAGCAGGACCCTCACAGACACCAGGGGGCGCCCACAGCCTTCCCAGCAGCGTCCTGCCTGCTCACCAGGTCCCTGTCCTGCACAGAGCGCCTGCTCCCAGGAGGGGGCGCAGGGAGGGTGAGCTGATGGCTGTGCTCTCACCGGGCCTGCGAAGCGACTTAACGTTCCCCGTCACCTTTATTTATTTTTTAAAATATATTTTTATTGATTTCAGAGAGCCAGGAAGAGGGGGAGAGAGAGATAGAAACATCAGTGATGAGAGAGAATCATGAATCAGCGGCCTCCTGCACCCCCCACCCTGGGGATCGAGCCTCAGCCCGGGCAGGTGCCCTGACCGGCATCGAACCCTGACCTCCTGGCTCATAGGTCGACACTCGACCGCTGAGCCCCGCCACCCGGGCCTCTTTCTTTAACCAGCCTCTCCCGCGTCCCCATCCCCAGCTCCGGCCACCACTCTCCTAGGCTGTTTCAGTTTGACTGTTTGTTTGTTTGTTGGATCCCCACGTAGGTGATGCCACGCAGCGCTGTCTTCATCGTCTGACGTCACTCGCCGTGGGCCCCCCGGAACAGCACTTCCTGTCCGCAGGCACCGCACCCCTCACCCGTCGATGGCCTGGGGCTCCCTGCGCGGCCGCTGCGGGTGGTGCTGCGTCAACGTGGGGAGATGAGTCTCTGAGATGCACATTTCACTCCCGTGGGTGGATCTGGACCCAGAGGTGGGGCTGGTGGGGGAGGAGGCCGCTCTCTCCTGCACTGACCACGGGTTCAAGTTCACGTCCAGAGACGCGTCCTGGCCCAGCCTGGGCAAGGGGACGACTGGCTACATTCCTGACCCCGGTGGCCGGTTTTGCCTGTCGACTTGGTGGGGCCACACTGCCGACACTTGGTCAGACATTCCTCTGGGCGTTTCTGTGCGGGTGTTTCTGGGTGAGACGAGACGTCGACCAGGGCTCTGAGAGACGCAGGTGGTCTTCTGGGTGTGGGTGGGCCTCGCCCGCCAGCTGAAGGCCGGAGCAGAGCTACAGACTGAGCTCCCTGGGGGCGAGGGGGTCCCCGCAGTCGGCCTCCAGACGCAAACTGCAACTCCTTCCCGCCCCGGCCAGCCTCCCCATCGGATGGCCCGAGTCAGTTCCTCAAAATAAGCCCCTTTCTCTCTGCTCACTTCCTGTTGGCTCCGCGGCTCTCTCTGCAGAGTCGGACGAGCGCCCTGACCCGTGGCCGTGGGACAGGCCCCCGACACGCGTGGCCCACAGCCGGCGGTGCCAGGCCCTCCTGGTGCCCCAGGACACCGAGGGCTCCGCTGGCCAGTCCCGGGGAAGAAGCTCCACACTGACCCCGAGCAGGTCCGCACGCGGCCGGGGACCCACGCAGGGGCGGGCCGAGCCGGGCCTTGCTGTGTCCGTTGCTGTGCCCGTTGCTGTGCCCATTGCTGTGCCCGTTGCTGTGCCCGTTGCTGCCAGGGCTGCCAGGAGGCCCCAGATGCTAAACAAGCAACAGCCCACACGAAAGGCCAGCAACTCCAACTTGAGAGACAGGACGGGCGAGGGGCCGGGTCTCTCTGGCCCCAGGAGTCCCGTGTCCCCCACCTCCCAGGCCTCCTTCTTCCTTGCCCAGCCCCTGGGGGGTCAGGGGTGAAGCCCGGGGAGAGGCTCCTGCTGATGTCACCTGATCGACGTGGCGTTTCCGGAGCTGAGTTCTCCCAGGGGGCGGGGGACTTGCTGCCGGTCGCTGATTCCAGCCGGAGTCCCAGGTCTGTGCCGTCTGCCCCCATCACTTCAGTCAGTGCTGCCCTCTCGGCCCACGATGTCACAGAAGGCAAAGGTTTGCACAACTACGGCATTATCATAAAAATGTCGGTATTAGCATACTGTGAATAATAGGGAGGCGCCTTAAACTAATAACTTCTGGCTCCAATACCCCCAGCAAAGTCACCTGAAATGGCTCAGCCGGCCCGGCCCCAGCCAGTTTGGCTCAGTGGATAGAGCGTCGGCCTGCGGATTGGTCCCGGGTTCGATTGCAGTCAATGCAGGCTCCTCCCCGGCCAGGCCCTGGTCAGAGTCCGTCTAAGAGGCAACCCATCGACGTGTTTCTCTCACATGGATGTTTCTCTCTGTCTCTCCCCCTCTCTTCCACTCTCTCTAAAAATCAATGGAAAAATATCCTCCGGTGAGGATTAAAAAGAAAAAAAGTAGGATAATCGAGAAATTCTTGAAGGTTAGTGTGAGAGTCGAGTGGATCCTGGGACCTCGTGAAAAGCCACCGTAATCCAGACCACGTGGTACTGGCTCAGGGACAGACAGACCCAACCGGGAGCTAGAAACAGCCCTGCAGGGGCAGGGATGCTGGAGGTGACAGCGATGGCCTCGCAACACAACCAAGGACGGCTTTTCAAAAACCAGAGGAAGAGACGAAACTTACCCCTTTCTTTCTAAAAAATCAGTTTTACAGGGAGGAAGGGGGAGGGATAGAGAGTTAGAAACATCAATGAGAGAGAAGCATCGATCAGCTGCCTCCTGCACGGCCCCTACTGGGGAGTGAGCTGGCAACCCAGGCATGTGCCCTTGACCAGAATTGAACCCGGGACCCTTCAGTCCGAGGGCCAGCACTCTATCCACTGAGCCACACCAGCCAGGGCCTTACCCCTGCCTTTCTGCACACACACGTGGGCAAGGTAGCTAAACACGAAAAGCAAAACAATAGAGATTGTGGGGGACAATCAAGGACACTGTGTGTCTGCTCCCTGGGTCGAGCCTGTTCACCAGGTGACCGTAGACAGCGTGGGCGACTGGACGGGAGGAAGATCCCGAGGGGGGCTTGCCGCTGTTGGGGGGCTGCAGCCAGTAGCCCTCGTGGTGGGGGCGGGGGCATAAGGGTCCCTCCAGCCCCGTCCAGCGAGGTCCTCGTCTCGTCCTTCCCGTCTGTCACTGGCTCCGGTAGCTTTAGGGTGTTTACCCACTGGACCAGCTCAGAGTTGTCCCCTCCCGTCACCACGGGGCCGGAGGAGAGGACAGGGGGCAGCAAGGCGACCGGTCACTCATTCACGAGAAGTTACCGACCGGCTGACAGGGCCAGGCCCTGAGCAAAATCAAGTGAGGATGGGGAGGGGGGAGGGAGGGCCTGCAGGGGTGCAGCTCCCCCTTGGGTGGGGGGTGACGGCCCTCCTGCACCTGCGGGTGGAGGCTGGTGCCGGGGTCTGGCGTGTGCCCGCTGCCAGGAGGGGACGGATATGTATGAGCTCAGACGGACTCGCTGGCTGGGAGGCAAACGGGTGCGTCTCTGGTGTGAGCCCAAAAGCCCCAGCTGCTGGGCACGTCTCGGGAGAGGCCCGAGCCCCTTTGTTCGAGGGCATTCCCTCCGGGTACCTGTCGGGGCAGCTGCCAGCTGCTGGCCTCTAAGGGGGAAGGAAGACGAGCAAACACCCTAAATCCTCACGACCCACAACCCGTGTCCCTGGCGCCTGCTCCCCTCGAACCTCCAGGCTGGTCCTGACCCTCCCGACGGCGCCCGCCACCCCCAAAGCCACAGCAGAGTCTCCCTGCAGGTCCCTGGGCCGTGGGTGGGCCCTGCCTTAGGGGACATGAGGCCTCCCCTCTCCACACCCGGCTGCACGAACCCCTCGGGTTTCCACGCGGCCGTGGCCCCTCACTGCCAGGGCTCGGGGGCACCTGGGTCCCTCGTCTGCGCCCCGGCTCCTCCTGGGCTGAATCCCGTGCCTCCCTGGAGCCCCAGGAGCCCCCCCCCCCGCTACCCCACTCCCTGGGCAGAGGGCCAAGCTCATCTCCATGGAGCAGCTCAGCCTGGGGAGCAGGGGGAGCAGACCTGAGCCCGGACCAGCGACCTTCAACTGTTACCTCATTTCCCCTCGCTGACCTTCACGGCAGCTCAGAAAGCAAAGGCCTTTTCCCTCCTTCGCAGGTGAGCAAACAGGCCCCAGGTGGACGGGATCGGCCAGGTGCCAGCCCCACACCTGCCGGTGTTCTCTGCTCTCACCGTTAGCCCCGTGGGCAGCGTGTTGCTGCTGCGCCCCTTCCTTCCTCTCCAGGGGGGCGGCCTGGTCCTCCCGGGGCACCTCACCAAAAGGCCTCTGGCCCCCCGTCTTTTTTGTTTGTTTGTTTAGAGGAAGGGAGAGGGAGATGAGAGAGAATCATTGATGGGCTGCCTCCTGCACACCCCCCACTGGGGATCGAGCCCGCAACCCAGGCATGTGCCCTGACCGGGAATCGAACCGTGACCTCCTGGTTCATAGGTCAACACCCCACCACTGAGCAACGCCGGCCGGGCTGCTCCCCTGTCTTGCAGAGCAGACAGACCTCCAGGGTTAGGGAGCAAACTTCCCGGGCAGAGTCCGCGGGGATGCGCCACTGGGCCTGGACCACTAGGCAGCCTCTGAATGCC